TCGTAACAGTACTGATATGGTCTACAGGAGTTCGTGTTTCGTACAGGTCATTCCATTCATTGAAAAAGCCTTTATATTGCAGAAAGCGTACCTGTCGTTAGCCATAGTAACTGAAATAAACTAAGAATTTGAAGTTAAATTATATTTGTGTTGGCTAAATTAAATTGAAGACTTATCTTTCTACTGGTGTTGGTGACAAAGAGTGTGTCTTGAGTCTTGAGTTAAATACTCCTTAAAAAGCATCTTGCTTGTCCTAGGAGGTTTCGTGCTCTGGAGTGTGCTGTTTGGTGCTCGCAAAACCAGTCAGTATAAGTTAATTTACAAGTGATTTAAGAGTGCAAGTAAAATTGGAAAATATTTCGATCGCTAAAACTGTTTGTGGGATGCTGTAAGAAGCAACTCTCTCAGTACTGGCAATGCCAAAGTTTGAAATTGGGTAAGTGTTGGTGCTGTAACTACTTGTATTGGTAACCTGTTCCACGTAGATATTGTGCGCACAAAGAAGGAATATCTATAGTTGTCGACTCTTGTTTGTATGTTCTGATAGGCCAGGATGTTTGATGTTCTACTTTGACGAACAGCTGGAATAACGCAAGATGGGAATGGAATATTCACAAGTTTGTTGTGAATCTTATAAAACATTGAGCATTGATTTAAATGTCTCCTGGTAGCTAAAGAATCCCACTTAAGCTGCTCCAGCATCTGGGTAACACTTGATGTTCGACTGTAGTTGTTATAAACAAATCTCGCCGCTTGCCGTTGCACAGCCTCAAGTGCATTTATCTGGGCTTTAGTATGTGGGTTCCAGGCTGCCGAGGAGTATTCTAACTTTGGTCTCACTAGAGCTTGGTAGGCACGGGTTTTAACTTTGGGAGAACATGACGATATATTTCTCCTAAGTACTCCAAGTGTACTACGTGCGCTTGAAGTGATTGTTTGGACATGATCCTTCCAGTTAAGGTGTTTATTGATGGTAACTCCCAGATACTTGTGTTTTGTGGTTTCCTCTATGCATTGACCCTTAGCTATGTATGTATGTTTCCACGGTTTTGTTTTACGAATGATTGAGATGGATCTACACTTGGCTGCATTAAAGCACATTTGCCATTGGTCAGCCCACTGAAGAACTCTATTCAGATCATCTTGAAGCTGTTCTTGATCATTTATATTTTTAATTTCTCTATAAAGGATGCGGAGGGAGGAATTTACATTCGTTACTATGCCATTTATATAGACCAAAAAGAGGGTTGGACCCAAGACGGACCCTTGTGGTACTCCAGATGTCAGATGCTTGAGTATAAAATGCAATATTGGACCAATTTCAGATGCGTATTCTTGTAAGAATCGCGCGGGTATATTATCTGGGCCACTGGCCTTGTTACATTTGAGTTGTTTGAGCTGGGTAATTACACCATATAAACCTATGTCCAAGTCTGGTATATCTTGGTATGGTGAGTTTCCCAAGTCTGGTATGTTTCCCGTATTTTCTTCTGTGAAAACAGATGAAAACTGATCATTTAGAGATTGCGCAATCTCCTTGTCTGTAGTATATATTTTGTTGTTTACAGTCAGTGGTGGTATATTGTGTTACTATATATCAATTAGTAACAAAGTAATTGTGTTACTATATATCAATTAGTAACAAAGTAATACGAAGAAAAACTATTGTATTAACAATACAAGAAGACGAGAAGTATTGATGACAGAAAACAGTAATAATAATATTACAACAGTTACAAAATAATTATTATATTACATTATATGGTGGCAACTACGTTATAACACCTTTTCAAAAAATTTTTGTACTTGTTTCTTCCTCCATTTAGCTCTTCAGCCAGGTCTTCCTTTGTTAAATCATCCGAAATGAAAAACTGTTCTGCTTTTATTACTTTTGGTCATGATGTTAATTTCATCCACGTAGCTTAACATTTTAACTAGTATATGCTGTGTCTTATCTCCCTTCTTTCTACCTACTCTGTGGGCTCGCTCTATTTTACAATCTGCCATGACGAAATGTGTTTTAAAAATGGCTTTAGTCACAGATACACAGTTCTCGTTTTCTTTCGTTTTACTCCTACTATTCTCAAATTATTTCTTCTGCTAAATCGTTTTAATTAATTAATTTTCTCTTGAATATATAAGTTGATTAAGTGTTGTCTCTGAGTATAACGCTTAAATTCATCCGATTCTAAGGCTAAAACGTTAACCTTTTTCTTCAATATCGTCTATATTTTACTTTGGAATTCCATAAAGGAATTTACGTTTGCTTCCCGAGTTTAAAGGCTTTTTTTATTATTGGAACTAGAGAGTCTTTAACATACTCCTCAACATTTGTAATTGCCTGCAAAGCAGTATAGAATGTGGCCTCGTTGTTGATCAAGCATACGAGACTGCACTAACCTCGGCACCGGTATGCTCAGTAGCCAAGGAGAGCTGGCCATTGTCTTTCCTCACATAGATTTTTTTCTTCTGTACGCATTAATCTGACCGGAGCGTATACCTTTCTTATTCCCATTGGTGACGATGGGTAGCTTAAGATGGCTTATTGCCTTCGAAATTCGGACTCTGTACAGTTTTCCCCTTCTTTGGGTTTTTACTCATGATGAACACAACATCTCTGGTCTTAGGTTTATTTCACTTCAAACACGGTTTTTAAATTACCACGTGTAGCTTACGTTTTTCTCGAGCGATCTATAGTACACGTTCTCATTCGGGGAACATGTTATTGATGGTCCTTCAATGATATGATCTCGATCGATAAACATAGTCTGCCCTTTTAAATAAGATTAGTTTTGTACCTCGCACCTTGCAATTGTTATTCTGTAAGATAGCAAATAATAATCATCATCCTTATAGAACATAGTGTGCAAATGCGCTATTTTCAAGTCTGTGTCAGCCTGTTCTGATCAACAGCTGATTGATATAAGATCCTGAATTTTAATACATTTAAATTTTCAGTCAGTATAAAATTATATTATACTATTAAAAGTTCATTTACAATATATTTTTAAAACTACACTGTTTAAGGTAAGACTTCGCTCGATTGTTGATGCAATTAACGATTTAGATACGATTACATCTTTATATGATACCAAAACTTGGAACTTATCAAGTGATTATCGATCAGTTGTTTTTTTTTTTTTTTTTTTTTTTTTTGTTGAAAGCAAGGTTATTTTAGTTTAAAACTAGAGGATGCGCACGCTTCACTCGCTTACCCTCTAGTATCGCGATTAGTTAACATAGAACAATTATTCATGATCACTTAAAGAACATCGGCCTAATACAGACGGCAATGCACAAAAATTCTAGGAAAATTTGTCACTGGGCCTAGATTTAAAGTCCAGGTTACCGTATTTCTCTTAGACAACTCATGGATAAAATGTGGTGAACGTTATGCATTTACTTTGTCCAGGCTTAACTTTAACAGTCATTTTTTGTTGATGGTAGGTTTTGGTATATGGTAAGGTAGGATAAATGAAGTAAGGCAAAATTACTGTACATTCCTTTTAGAAATGATATGTTTGTGAAACAATAAAGATATTACTGAAGTTTCTACATTGATTATAAGTAAACAATTTATGTAGATATACCGTACTTAAACTTTTATATTTATATACTCTAAGGTCTACAAGTCACAAAGTGTTGAATATGGATAGGACAGCTCCACATTTAAAAGTTCAAATTAGGTCACGTAAAAAAAATCTAATGATCGGTCGGTAGACAGACAGGGAGGTTGCTTTATGTTTCTTTAATCTGTAATGAAAGCACCCTCTTGATTCATGTCATCTTTAAATCCCCTATGAAGAGCAAGGCATCGTTTACACATGACGGATCTTCCAGTGTAGTTTTTGATCAGGTGGAATGTGTACACTCTTACAACTCCCTGTACGAACAAACAAATGAAAGACAAAATAATTACAAAAAAAAAAAAGAAATAATTTTTAGGGAGAGGATGATCAGCTTATTTTTTCTTACTGGCTTTATATTGAGTCAAACCACAGGAATATAAGTGACACGTCTTCAAACCCGTTTTTCAAGGAGTAAATAACTAAATTAAAATACTTATTTTTTTCCTCAATTAAGTTGAAATATGGAATTATATTCACTTTGTTAGATGGAGATTTTGACGATCTATGTAGTTGCAGTTATTCAGACCAGTAGGTTTCGAATCATAGACGTTATCTGACGACTGCGTTATACTACTGTGATTGTAGCCTTTGGAATAAGCATAATTATAATAATTGATAGTACCTTATTTACAGATATTATACACTAATTTAGAGCGCTTCTTCTAAGATGAAGTTTATCGACTCGATCGAATATGCTTGATATTATGTTTGTTAATTGTCAAAATCTCGGGAAAAAAAATCTGTTTTAACAACTTTTAAAAGAGTTCAAATAAAATATTTATAAATTAATGTGTCAATACGAAAGTGTTATATAGGCCTTTTTATGCCTGATAATAGAACCTAAAATCAGGAAAAAGGCTAGGCCTTAAACAATAAATAAATAATACAAGCAATGACTTAATGAATTTTCAAGTACTATTTTGATTAAATATTAAATAAGATTGTATTTTTTTCCCTAAAAACAATATTTAAGTATCTGGCGCCTACTATATTTCTTCACCAATAGACAAAACCTATCACAAAATAAAATGTGATTTATAATGTTTGTAAATTTTTCTATTCGTATCAAATGAAATGTTACCAGAAATTTGGTATTAAGGTATAATAATATATATTACAGAATTAATAATAACTGGTATCATTGAAAAAAATAATTTATTTATTACTTAATTTATTAAAAGAAAGACATTGAATATCTAATTGCTGGAAAACAAAGAATGCACAATGAATGTACTATATTCTAATTAAATTAAACAAATAAATAACACAAGCAATGACTTAATGAATTTGCAAGTACTAATTTAGTTAAATATTAAATAAGATTGTATTTTTTTTTCTAAAAACAATATTTTTTCCTTTTAGATCATAGCCATGGCCACTTCTGCGGAAGGTAAGATGCTTTGTGATGTATTTTGGATGAATCAAATGTTTACAGAATATAAAAATATAATTATTCGAATAATTACTTTTATAATATATTTAATTAAAAATTTTAAATTAATTTAAGTTACATGTTACAGCATTGTGATAAAATTATTTTCTTCTTTGGGCATAGTACACTCTTGATACCACCCTGGGGCTATAGGCCTAGTTTTAACCCCTTTAAATATTTCCAAATCTTTCAAATCTTTTTCCCCTCTGGGTGAATAGTAACATGTTACTGAAGAGGTAACCCAGTTTAAAGAACTAACAAATAAACAATAAATAACACATTTCCACAAAACCTAAAAGTCTGACTAAACATACCAATTCCTCAAAAGAACAATGTATTACTCAACAACGAACCTGGCTTCCGTAAAGTCTACAGTATTTTCACTCTACTTTTTAACCGAGATTAGAACTAAATTTTTGAATCAAATAAACTTGCAATTGACATCTTTGTGATATCCTTGTTTCCAAATTATTTAAATATAGAATCTCTTCAAGAGTTACCTTACCAATGGCTACCAATGCACTAAATTAAAACATTCTATATCTAATCCTAAACCAGTTACCTAAACGAGTTCCACGTGGATCTCAGCAAGGCTTTCTCTTAATTTCAATACATCAATGATATTAATACCGATCCTTCAGTTTAGCTTGTTTTTCTTTCTGTACTCAGAATGCACAATATGCTATTAAGAAGAATTTGATTTTCTATGCAAAGGAAATTTCATGAAGTTGATTGAGGCATGTAGTTAGTTTTTTGGATGAATTTTAAACAATCATAAGTTGCACTTCTTAATATTTAAACAAACACCTATTTATCAGAAAAATAATCAAGAATTAGGGTTATACTATAGTGGTAATTCTTTACGTGTAAACCAACATGTAAAGAAATATGGTGTGTAAATGAAAGCCATTTTCATTAATACCACAAAGAGGTATTGCCACCTAATACCAGATTTCAAGTGGTGACCAGTTTCGACTGGGGTTCAGCTAGAAATGGGACCTGTTGTAAATGAGACCAGTTAGAAATAGACCAGTTGCGAATAGAGGACCAGTTCCAGCCACTAGGACCATTTGGAAACTAGATGGAAATGAGACCAGTTGTCTAAAACACAATTGGGAGTCGAGTGGTAACATACAGGCACCAGTAACAACAACCTCAACAATGCTGATTTGAACCGCTTCTCGCCAATGGTTCGGTTAGTAAAAACCAAGTACTTCTCAGATAGGGACTTAAAAACGGTGGTCCAGTAAAACAAAACCTGTATCGTGTGCACTTTAAAGAGCCTACTGCATCTTTCGGAAGAGTAAACGGTTACCCCGATTCTATGGTCCATTTCAGCCCCTACCGTTGCGGAATGATGTGAACATCATGATGTTGCAACTATAAACGCCTCTTTACGGTAGCTGGTAGTCAGAGACCACACCTATACGCAATTAAGCAAAATTACGCTCCAAGTTAATCTCTTACTCCTGCCTTTATGATCAGAGATTTATACGTACAAATTACTTGATAATCGGAAGTCACTGTGAATATGAAACACATTTGATTTTTTTCGTCTAATACCAGAAAATAAAAGTAATCATTAAAGAAAAAACAGTGACACAATACCTAACATTGTCAATTTGTTACACAACATACACTGCACTGCTGCAGCAATCTGACTTTAGCCTTTAAATATTTAACAAAATTGCTTATATAATTTTTATTATATCTTTTTAGGACATTCACATGGGAAGCCAGTGCAAATAATTGAGATGAAAACAGGCAAGCTCGAACTCCATAAACAAACACTTGAAGAGACCTTGTTGCAACCCCAGTTGAAGGATTTGCCAGTGATTGTTTTGTCGATTGCTGGTATATTTCGCTCTGGAAAATCTTACTTACTCAATTTATTGGTCAACCACCTCTCTAAAGATGTTAGTATGCGAACATAAATATTGGTTTACTCTTTCTTCTTCTTTAAAAAAAAAATTTAATCATGCCAAAGGAGTAATGTTATATTCAAGAATATTCAAAGCGAGTGACGAATGTACAAGAGGGTTTTAAATTTACCGCGCCCTCTATAGTTTTTGCGCCTCAACATTGGAATTTTTGTCCACTATGAAGATACTGTGTTCGCAGTGCTTGTATAAAGAGACAAGAATTTAAGCTTTGTTTACGTCATCGTTCTTTTACTCAACACAAAGTTCCAAAAATAATAATTTGAAAAATGAATAAATTGTATAAACGCTTGTGTTCTTCATTTTTTTTCAATACTTAAATAACTTAGGAAAAACAAACAATGCTGTACACTTGACATGACGTGTAATTCCTGGGAAACAATTTAGAAAGCCACTGTCATCATTATTGATAATTTTAATGTTCTGTTATGCAATTTACTGATCTTATTTAATAGATCAATAGACCTAGCGGATTTCCTTGGAATTCTGGTACTGACAGGGTGACAACTGGTATTTGGATGTGGAATCAAATTTTTACCGCAACATTACCTGACGGTAGAAAAGTAAGTTAAATTCCTTTATGCTCTACATATATGAAATTTGCAATTACAGACATTTGTGCCAGTTGTGAGGATTGGGAGTTTCTCATGTTACTGCACAAAATTATGTTTGTTTTTCGTACACCACGTGGCTAAAACATTAGACAAATGTAATCTGAGCTACATGATAATAATGGGTTTCTCTAAAGCATTAGACAAGACTCTTCCTTAAACTCAAAAGGTACTGGCAAAACACTCATCTGGTTTAGCAGTTTCAAACAGCACGCATCCAAAGTGTAGTAATAGAAGGCGTGCACTAGCTTACATGGAGATAAAGTAAGATCAGGAGTATCACAAGACACGGTACTTGGCCCTCAACTTTAATCACATAGGCATACCTGAATAATCTTTTAAAGAGTATTAAAAGAAACATAGGCATTATGCCGACGAACGCATTATGTAACATAATAAATAATCATCATCGACGTGTCTCTTCTACAAGAAGACCCAAGGAAAGCAGCACACTTTGATTTGAATGACTGCAGCCAATAGAGTAGCGTTAAACCATGCTGCGTTAAAACCTCTTTCAACCACTGAAGAGAATGTATCACAATGCTCCACAAAATACAGATAGTTGAGGTTGCTATTAAGGCAGAAGATTATACAGTATTAGTCCAGGGTAGATCTTGGTTTAAATTTTAGGGAGGTGGGGGAGGGAGTAAGGATGATGAGGGCCAAACTTTTACCATGTTCAACTCAACAAAGCAAGGATGCAGATGTGTTTTGAATTCTGGGTGGGGGGGGGGACATTTCGTGTGTCCACACCACCCCATCTCCACCTTGTTTTGGGCTGGCGTGCGAAAATTTGAGAAAATAGTATCCTTTAAATGGTCGGAAATGGCACTCTTATATTATAGTAAAATCCATCATCATTCCATCACCATTATAGTCAAAATGAAATGCCAACAATTTTCTCATTATCTTTTATCAGCGATTTTTGGCAACCACAGAGATGTAAATTATATGTGTGATACAGCATAAAAAATAAAAGTAATACCTACTTTTACCCCCTAAGTTCACACGCACCTCCGCCTCACCATGGTTATAGGGCTGAGGTGCGATTTTTTTTTTTCAAGAAATATTATAGAGTAAAATTCATCATTGTTTTGGTGTTAGGAAATTTAAGGGCACCACCTCTTGTTAGGAAACAGTTTGTTTACTGTGTGCACAAGCCATGATGAGTTCGTATTTCGCTTTCGCATTTCAGTTAATTTAAGAGACACTAAAGAATATAGAACAAAGTGAGCTTAGAAATTAATGTTATCATAATTCACTAGAGTTTGGAAGCAAAAGGTTTTGTCATGACATCATGACATGTTGTTACGCCTGCGCGTAATAATTTACTATGCCGCCACGCGCGAACTGGTTATCGGTGGGAGACAACATCATGAGATCGTTGTGACAGTCTTTACAATTTTTTACCACACTGGATTTTCATGTATTATTATATACTACAGTATATCATTTATCGAGGTATGTTTAACATGTTGTCAAGTAATTATATTGTATATGGAGTCGGCAGTTGCGATCTCCATACCATATCACCCTTTAGTTCTTTTCAGTGTAATTTAATACTATTTATAGGCTAGGCTAGCGGCGACTTCGTGGTCGACATTTGGAATGCTTCCATCTAGGCTGAGCTCCTGTATACAGTATTATAGGCCCACACGGGAACGCCAGGCCTACGCTTGGTTTTCCAGGTTCCAGGCTTCACAGTAGCAGCTTACTGCTTAGTTACAATTTGTGCAAATGATTTATAGGTTTTAATAATTATTGTAATTATAATTGTTATTTGAGGTTTATTCATAATTTCATCATAATTAATAGGCCTAGTAATACTGTAATACTCGAGATTAACGATGTCTTTCAAGAAAGTTATATTATAGAGGGCGCTACTCATAAATTAATATCTTTAAAATGATTTGCTGTTTATATTGCATATTATTATATAATTATTATAACTTTATTTTGGAAACGACGCTTTTAAAACAGCGGACACGCTCTTGCAGTGTGTTTATAAAAGGAACATACTGTACAGCCATAATACAATATTAAAATAGAGGCGAGACTTTTTATACAATAAAATGTACGATAATTACACAAGTTGAATATATCACAGATACTGTATATCATTTAACACTTGCAATTTATAACATTTACAGCAAAGCACAGTTTATATATTGCGGCCAACTGACCTATACTATTTTAATATTTATAAATAATAATAATCAAATTAATAACATAAGATTTGTATAGGGCTCGCTCATATTCAAATTTAAAGAGCAACAATCTATATACCCTAAACGGATTTAAATTACATTTTGATATACATATTTAATTAATTTTTGCTGGTCGTCACATATCATTTATTTGAAAAAATAATAGGAGCTACTTAAGGATTGCCTAATTAAAGAATGCTTGCCATCGAGGGGCTCTCTCGGTCTATCGGCGAGGATTAAAGAACTGCTTAAAAATAGTAAATTATTACAGTATTATTTTATAATATGAAATTGGATATAAAGTAGTGAAATCATTAAAAAAATCTATAAATAGTTACATGAAATTCGACTGCTAAAATGATTAAATGAAATTACACTATACAGGGGGCCGCTAAATGTATTATACAATATTATACACAGGAACGCACATCACGTTAGACACAGAACGCGCATCGCGTATGACACAAAATGGCTTCTAAATTCTTAATGTCGCAACTCTTTCTATCTATGGCTCTGTATTAGAAGCCAATGTAGCGCCCTCATTATTGTGAGGTGTGGGCGAAGTTTCTTATGTAGATTGTTACCCAGTCAGCAGCATGCTGGAACTGGGTTCTGTTTCTGAGCAGATTCTTTCTTTCTTTCTGGCAACATTTTAAAAGGCTACTAGTGGCAAATTACTGGACCGATTTAATTAAAACTTGATCAGTAGGACTGGTGCCACATCCCATTTTTATGTGTTGTATACAACTTGGAGTCAAAGGTCACATAAGGGGCATTGGGTCAAAAAACCAAAAATCGTATAAAAGATTACTTCTCTCACAATTAACTTAGCACAGTCTTGGACCAAATTCAATCAAATTTCGTCATTAAGAACCAGCGACACCTCCTACACCTAAGTCTGGGATCAGGGGTCACATATGGGTCATCGGGGTTAAATTTTCAAAATAGCCCAATTTGAGCTCAAATTTACCAGGAATGATCCTTAGGACTTTCTAAACACGAAAAAATACTCTTCATCCCATATGTCAAAGTTGATAGGTCAAAGGTTCAAAATGTTACTAATGGCAAACGATTGAACCGATTTTAATCAAATTTGATCATTAAGACCCAGTGACACCTCCTACACCCCTGTCTGTCATCAGTGGTTACATAGGGGTCATCAGGGTCAAATTTTCAAAATATCCCAATTGAGCTCGAATTTGCCAGGAATGATCCTTAGGACATTCTAAACATGAAAAACTACTCTTCACCTACAGGTAAAAAATCACAAGGGTGACTATCGTGAAAATTATCAAATATTGCTAGTGAATTAACGATTAGACCAACTGCATTAGGCGTGATCTACAAATTATCCCCAACGACAGAAACGGGTCAAACACGTTTACTATTGTTATATGACAAGCTCCCAAACGCGTCTGTGAAATGCAGTTTGGAAGCTTGTCGTTCGAGCCGTTTATTCCGTTTTAAAGTTAACTCCTCCCCTTTTCATATGCCTGACTGCTCGTGAATGGCAAATGTTAAACGCGTTCACAGCGGAATTTGGAATTTTAAACAACTTCAAAACTTGTTCAGTGTCCCTTCCGTACTTAGGCTATGTAGGCCTAGGCCTATATTTATAATATTAGTAGCCTGGTAGTAAAATGCTATACGCTAGGTGACAGTTCACGAAGAAATGTTTATAATAAAGGCCTAAATTTAATTATTTTTCTTGTTGGGGAAACCCCAATGTTTCTTGTATTTTTAGTAGGCTAGGCCCTACCGTTACCTGTAGGTTTTATAGAAGAGAAAGCAATCGCCAGTAACCTTCCTACCCAGATTATATTGTGCGATGTTCGAATTGACCTATCAAAAAGTACCTTTTGCCCAACTTTCCAATTCTCACGTGCCTCGTCTGCACAGCCCGCACAATACAGCATGTAAACACTGACCTGGATCAGCCGCAGTTGAAAAAGTTTGTTGTGGCGATCACGTGATATCGCACAAAGAACAACGTATGCTACGGCATTGTTTGTTTTACTGTGTAGGCTATATAAATTTAATACATGTTTGTATTATTATAGATATTATTATGTTTTAAAAATGGTTAAACCATCATCCAGCAATGGTTCTAGTATATCACTGTTTACTATTTTGATGTTTTCATGTAGGCCTTCTTGGCTCGCAGAATCGCCTGCCCGACGTCCCGGGGCAACCAAATATCTGCGTCGGGCAACCAAAAATAAATAGGGTGCGTTTTATTATGACGATCAATGACAGAATTAAAATGACATGTAAGAAATGAATGTACAAAAAAGTAACACTTCGCTAAAATATAGCTGAACAATTCCTACCACCGAAACCATGGCACATGTTTATATTGCTGAACAAGGCAGTCGGCTATTCCTTTCTTGCGGAGCAGCAGCGCGTTTACATTCCTGAAGGCGGCGTTCAAAGAATCAGATCAGACACTAGAGCGTCTACATTCCTGAGTTGGCGGCGTTTAAAGAGAAGTCTACTGTATGTGCTTGACCTTGTGGGAACCTACTTGTGTGGGAACGTTTCTCACTGAATTCACTGTTACTAGGCAATTTGCAGTAATGCAAACTGGTGGTATATGCCTATTTTTTAAACAGTTTATTTCCGTTCATGACAAAGTAAGAATATCGATACAAAACAAAGTGAAAACGATGCTCATATGGCCGACTGTACACAATACTTGTATTTTGGACCTAAATAAATCATCGGGAATATGCATCGATAACAAAA